TCTTGGACAATTGGGTTGAATGAACTAGGCTATGGTTCTACATCCTTGGTGGGTTTACATTATAATTCGGGATTCTGTGACCGAATTATAATCTGGGATTCCGTGACCGAATTGCCTCAAATTTTGATTAATAAACACATTAAAACCCCGAAAATAATCTTATTTTAGTTTACAAACTATTAATTTTAGATTTACAGGCATAGCTGTATTTCCAAGCTAGATTCGTAATATAAAGAAGGAAAGAAGACGACATTCCATACACTGGGCGTTGTTGCTCTGACACAGACTGATGCAAGAAACCTAAAATAAACAACGAACATAGAAGTTTTAGAAGAATTTACTATTTGTAAATAATCATTTAAAATGTTCCCAAGCAACAACGTTTCAGAGAACTGGTGTCATGAATCCGTTTGGTTAGGCTCGTTAATTAAGATACACTCGTTCTTCTAAATACTCGTCACACCTACCCAAAACAAGAAATCAGGAAGCATTTAATGAAATGTAAGCGTAAATTTAAGTGACCCTTCATACAAAGATGGTAAAGTTCTATTCAGACAGGTTTTGTTTTTTAAACTGTTCATTTGCACTTCCTCTGCAAAAAAGACTTGTGTATGGTTTGCTTATAAGAAACAATAGAGAAATTTACAGAAATAAACACTTTTCAGAAAAACGACTTATATTCCACATTGTTGATCAGTTAAGGTTTCAAGGGTACTGTTGTAAATCTGGCATTGCTATCTTTGCATGTTGGCCTGTCACCGAAGGTTAAGAGTGTCACATGGGCTTACTAGGCGAGCAGCCCAGGCGGCAAGATATCTAGTACCGGCTCGATAGTACAGTACATTATTTTTTGACCCTCCTTGCAAAGATGGTAAAGTTGGATTCAGTTCAGTAGCCTTAAAAACTTTGTTTTGTCAAGTATGCATTAGATAAACATGTTTTCTTTAAACTGTTCATTTGCGGTTTCTCTGCAAAAGTTACTTGTGTATTTTTTGCTTATAAGAAACAATAGAGAAATTTACAGAAATAAACACTTTTCAGAAAAACGACTTATATTCCACATTTTTGATCAGTTAAGGTTTCAAGGGTACTGTTGTAAATCTGGCATTGCTATCTTTGCATGTTGGCCTGTGGGCTCCGGTGGATCATTTAAAACTACGCTTACCAGTTCCTTCTAATGCCTGGATCTTGAATATATGATGTCTCAAAGTAAATGCCTGGTATATACAAGGTATAAAGAACAATGCAACCAAACAAACCCAAATGTTAAAGGGATAGTTTCGTAAATTTGTTAATCAACACACACATTTCAATCTAAATTTATTTCACATTAATTGGTAAGTTTGTTCTAATTGAACAACAAACACAAGCATTCACAAAA